GACTTGTCAAGGATCTAACAAAGAAATTCGGAGTATTAGAAATGAATTTGGAACATGTTGATTTATTAGCTTGATTATTGAATTCAAGTGTGTATGTAGGATATTGGATATTAGGATGAATTAAAGTGATATAAGTTGATTTGAATAAGTATAGTTAAGTTTCAAGGGTTAAAATGAGGTTATGAAAGAAGAATTAAGTGAATTTGGTAAGATTTTTGGATTAAAGAAGTGTATTTTGGGTTAGGGGTATTGGTATTGTTCATTCAATACCGATATTTCAAAGAGAAAATAAGTGATTATTAAGGTATAATTATCGATACTGGTTGAATAAGTATCGATACCATAAGGCAGAAATTTATAAATTGTTCACGGGATATCGATACCTGGAGGGTAGTATCGATACTAAGAGTACCGATACCATAAGGTCAGTATCAGTACCAATTTTTGAAACAAGGATTTGCAATGCAAAAAGAGTATCGATACCCAAGCTTGGTATCGATACCATAGCTGGGGAAGTATCGGTACCATGCATAGGGGTACCGATACTACTCAAAGTGGAAATTGTATTAAGTATTTCGTTTAGCTTGGGTTATTAAGGATCGAATTATAACACTTAGAATTCTGATATACATATCAAAATGTTTGATTATGTAGATATTGATCGGAAGCGAATATTTGATGAATCAACGAGATAAGATCGAGCAAGAAAGAAGTAAGAGATCGGTATTGACTAGTGAAGCTAAAGTGAGTGCATACTAGTGGCATATGGTGTTTAATGGAAATATGACTTGCGATGAGTCTATTTCTTATAGTAGTATTCATGAAGTCATGAACATGAGCATTTGTTTGATATGAGTATATGAGCTATATGTGATTATATGTATTACATGATTTGTGTGAATGACATGATTTATACATATGCATAACTATATATGTTGATATGTTTTGTATGTGATACATGATTTATGTAAAATACTATTATGTGATAATAGGAGAACATAAAATAAGTTATGTAATTATATGATTACTAGAGGCAAGCCATGTGATAAGATAATATGATACATAAGAATGTAACGTAAGCTACGTATAAGTGATGACTCATGTAGACATGTGTCTATGAGAAGACTTAAGAGAACAAAATATAAACCTTAAGATAATAAATTATGAGACTCTATGAGAATAGTATATAAATTATGGGACATGAATATAATGATGATACGAACCTATAGGATAAGCATTATAGGAAAGTTTTATATACTTAAAGGAAACTATGATATAGGAGTTATAGAATGAAGAATGATAAAACCCTATGAGAAGGTTATAGGAGCTATGTGAAACTGAATTAAATAAATAGAATAAACTAGTATTTAAATAATGTGAGATAAGTAATATAGGTTATATATTATTATATAGGTTAATATAATAAACCATGTAAACTGGTATAAAGGGAAAATGAGATAAGATAAATAGCATTTACCTACAGGGTTCATATAAGATTATATGAATATGTAGCATAAACTATACAAGGAAGACTTAGGTGTTATATGATTTAAGTATAGAAATGAACATAAGATATAGTCAGATGCAATTATTATGTGATATGAGTATATGACATTATTATATGATGTGGATAGGACATATGAGATTATATGTTTGTGTGATAACATGAGAAAATGAACTAAGTTCAATGATATTGAACTATGTGAGTATAAGTATATGTGATATGTGACATATGAATATGAAATCATATGAAAAGTGACATGAATTATACGAAAATAAACTATGTGATTACATGTATATATGAATATCCCTATGTGACATGAATAAGTGAATATGTGACAAGTATAAAGATAATGTCCATGTTATGTGTCATGAGAGCTAGAGGTATAGTTGGCATGCCAAGAGTCGAGGGTTATCTATGTCCTTCAGGACATATGGATAGGTTCTTCGGGACACATGGACATGTACCTATGTCCTTCGGGACATATGGATAGGTCATTCAGGACACATGCATAGGTCCCTCGAGACATATTTCACATGCCACTCAGTGGACCCTTATACGAGCTATGGTGACAACATATGTGTGCACGACCTCAAAGTTCTCGTATACCTTAAGTTCTCACATGTGTGCATGGGTTAATAAAAGATAATATAAATAAACCTGAAATGATGATGTGTTGGGTTCTGAGTGAAGTAATATATGTGATATATATATATATATATATATTTGTCATATGAATTATTATATGATATAAATATTAAGTTAATATTTGAAATGTGTTATAAAAATTTATATGATGATATGTACATTGTTTGGTTAACAATGTTAGGTACAAGAGCTTATAACTAAGAGATATGATTGATAATAATGTTAATAATGATAAGAATAATAATAAGAATAATGAAATGCTATGTTTATGTATGTATTTATGTTTGATGCATAATGCATTCTATAGTTTATCATGATTACATGAAGTGTGCATAGTAGGAATTAGTAATTATATGTTATAGCAAGTTTTTATGCCTCACTAAGTCATCGACTTAGCATGTGATTGTTTCACACGCATGTTCCGGAAAGCGAGAAGAGAAGCTAAGACGAGCAAGACATGTTAACCTCTCTTTTACGAAGTTCAGATCAGAAAAGAAATGATTAATGTGTATTTTGTTATTTTTAATATAGTTGGCATATACTAAGAAATTAGAGTTAAATATGCTCTGATATGTGTTGTAAAACCAATTGATTTTAAATTAATGTAAAATATTAGTTTTCTTGAAATGTGGAGTTAAATTTTAGCCAATTTGTTAAGAAAATCGTTTTGAAAAGTCAATGTGACACCTTAGACTCGAATCTGGGTCGGATACGGGTTCGAGGTGTTACAAAATTGGTAGATGAATGTATTCCCCTTGAACTGAAAGAGATGTTGCCATATGGATTGTTCGTGGATCCACCTCGATAGAGATCGTAACAAGTTGCTGATGAATGTCTCCCCATTGAACTTTATGGGATGGTATCAGGATGTGAATTTCTTATTAACGAGTTAAAATCATTACACATTACTTGAGTTGGGCTGTCAACTTGATCAACTTGTTGAGTCAGCCCATAGTGAGAGCATAATAACATACCACGAATTGTAGGCACTTCAACAAATATCACATATATTCCTCTATCAATGTCTAAATTTTTATTTTGAGAATCAACCATCATAGTAATATCGTCATCGTTGGAGAGTTCGAACGATGTATAAGTTAACAAAAATATTACGGTTAGAAATCTATACTGAAGTAAAGACAGTTTTCCAGTACTTTCAATATGAATCTTCCTTGGAATTTTAGTGATCAGCTCCTCAAGAGTGATTTTTAAGGATATTCTGACAGAATGATTTGATGTGAAGACAAAACCGATTTTATCTTCTTGTATTTCTCCATCATAGTAAACAATAGTTAAAATACGCCTTATTTTGAGAGTTTGAAAGTTTGAAAGTTTGAGAGTCTTATATTTGCAAAAACAATAGCTAAAATACAACTAATTATATAAATAATATACGAATTAAAATATGAACTAATGCTAAAAAAATTCACAGCAAATTATAACATAATTTAGTATTGTTACTGTATCGGTAAAAATATCTCGAGATTTGATCTCTTCTTCTATTTTACAACCACAAAAAAAATACGAAATAGTTAGTATAAAATTTTTTGGTCAACCAGTAAAATATAAAATAAATATAATATAATAAAAAAATTACCTTCTAAGAATTATAGCAAAATCTACTTAATTTGATAGGAGGAATTGATAAAAGTAATAATGTGAAAGTAATTTTGGTGTGGTTTGATGTTTGCTTTCGGGGGTATTTATAGGGGAGGGGATGGGTGAGTCGCCAAAATTTAAGGCTCGGGTAAAAATGGAGTACCCAATAATTAAAGGTGAATACTAGAAGGTGCGGATGATGATACCCACCTTCCACCGCGTGTCATCTTTACCACGAAGTTACGAATGGTGATTTACGCTTTGCCTGCACGACGCCAGCTCCAAAGAATGTGTGTTTGGTGATCCGCGCCTTCCATCCATGTCAGCAAATGAGTGTTAGATCAATAAAATTTGGTCAATGGACGCCTGACATGTAATTATTGATTCTTTGAATTTTTTTTGTTGGTAAAAACGCCTCATTCTCTTAAATGAATATCATTTTTTTTATATAAAAAAGGGATTTCTTATGGATTTTTGTTTCGTTTCATATTGTAGTAAGGGCTACTGAGATGAAATGTCAAAGATCCAACTTTTCTAATGTCATATTTTCTGGTCATAACAAGGGGAGTGTATTTGGGGTTTTCTTTTTCATGTTTCCATCTTTTATAAGTAAGTATATTTAGAACCTTCGGAGCTAAATTTTTCTACCATGGAAAATGGAAAATGCAATTGATGTCCTCTTTATCATATATTTATTAGCATTTTTTTAAATTTGATTTTTTTCAGTGAATGTGATGTTGTTATGTTCTTTGTGATATATTTTTTTGCTTTATTATCTTCATTAACCTAACTTGTCTTCCATGAAAGTGGTATTTTTCATTGGAGCATCTTAAAATATTTGTATTTGGAATATGCTGTTGGCTATAGCTTACTTATGACCCGTTTGAATCAAGGATTTTAGGATTCTTGATACGTATATTTTTTTCCTTACTAAAGATAATCATGTTTGGTTGGATATTCTTTCCCAAGCGAAGGTAATATTTATTTTCCAAATGTGTTAGTATTCTTTTATTCCCGTGTACTAAGAGTTAAAATACCCTTATTTTCTCGTTTGCCTCTGTAATATCTTCTTCTCCCCGTGATAGTTTGCCTCCCTCTGCAAAAAATTCATCATGGTAAGATTTCTTATCCTCTCCCTTTCTTTATAATGTTTTACTTGTTTAATTTTTCTAGAAAAATTAGTGTAGTCTGTTTAAGTTAACTTCGAGCGATAATTTCCTTATAGTTGTTGTTTTGCTTGGATCCATTCTGCTATTTTTTTCATAATCTTGTGCAGTATTTGAGCTTTAATGGAAGATTGAATAGTCTTAAAGAAGATGGGGTTGTAAACTGTAAAGTAAAAGCAAGGATATTTGATAGGGTTCGGTTATATTCATAGTTGAATCAATTAGGGTTCTTCAAAAAAAAATTAACGCCGAGTTCTTTTCCTTGGTTTTATAATCCAAAATATTTTCCACTCCGTATATCAATTTAATGGTTGTATCGTCCTTCGATTCACTTCTGTTGTCGTCTTTGTTGTTCTGTTTGGATTATTGTTCAGTTTTTCGTTTCGTCGATCGTGGGTTAATTTCAAAGCTATCTCATTCTCAGATTTTTAGTAGACCTTGTAGTTTCTAACATATTACAACCGAAGGCGGAGAAGTAATCACCGATATGGGTAAACGTAGGATTTTTTATTCCGAAATTCTTTCTTTGCGTAATTTTTGCTAATTAATTTGATTAACGTTTTGCTTTTACCTTCTTTTTCTTATATGGTTTATGGGTTATTATCTCTCCAAATTGATATTAATAGTTGCGTTTGAAGAATAAGAATTTTTTATCATTTGTTTTGGGGTGTGTTTGGTGTTTATTTTATTTGAAGAATAAGGATTGCCCAATGTATTAGGACCATGGTTCTATGAGATTTCATGTAGTTTTGATTGGTTGGCGAGAATTCATGAATTGGTTAAAACATTGGCGCCCGAAGAATTAGAACTATCTCTCATTTAGTGGGATTCATTTGTTAATCAGTCTTCAGATTCAATATGTTACATTAGATTATGATTTTCTATTGCCGAGCAAATTTGCAGTTATGGTTGCAAATGTTTCTTCTGATTTAAAATTTGGTTTGAGTACTTGAATCTCTGTGCTTCTAATGGTCATGTTATCTTTTTTCCGTTGTTCAGATTTGCTACATTAATGCACCAGTGTCTGAATTCTATCAAAAAGGGGTCCAACAAAGTGATATCTTTAGCTTCCCATGTTATTGGTTAGTTTTGAAAGCTTTTGCATATTCTAATGCATAATGCATGGAAGAGACCACACGGATTAAGTATTCAATCTGATAAATTTCTTTTTGTAGGTTTGCTGGCTTTAACTGTTGGTCCTGGAGATAATGCACGGGAAATATTGGAGGAGTCGATAATGCCTATTTCACAGGCTTCTAAATCTGGCTCTGAATCTTCTAAGATAGCTTCGGTGTGCAAGAAGTTCAATTGAGATTTGTTCTACTTCTAGTATTTTGTTGGTACTACAATGCTTAACAGTTTCTTTTTACCTGGTTTCCTGTTATAGTTACTGGAGTGCTTGGCTATTATCACTTTTGTTGGGGGATCGATCCAGAGGAAACAGAAAAATCAATGCAAATTATGTGGCAATCTGTTCATCCTAAGTTAGGCTCTAATGTAAGTATCATGATTTTCATTAATTGAAAAACATCGAATAGTGTATTGAAGTTCACTGCATCAATTATTGCTTCTATCTTGTCAATGTCAAGGCATGATTATGTGTTTATGCTGCATTATTTGTTGTATTTCATAATTAATTGTTTCTGCTCGACTTGTAGGTTGTCTTAAATTGTTCTTTTTCTAGTGGGGTGTAGTCTTAAATTCTCTTCATATATATCATGGTTATAAATGTACTTTTGAGTTTAAATATCAGAATAGTAGGTTAAAAAACCTTGTGAGACTTCAATGTTTCCCCAGTATAATGGGATGAGACTGATCAATCTTGGAAAAAATATGCAGATCCATAGCATATTTGTCTACTTTGCATATAAGTGTGGTACAGAGAATGTTGAAATCACTAAATTCAGTTATCAGCAAAGCAAGAACCCAGATCTTGAACAAGCAACGGATGCAATCTAAGGTAGGTTATTTCTGTGTTTGATGGGGCACATGGATGTAGTGTTTCCCAAACAAAGTTCCTGGTTAATGTTTTTGTTTTTTTCTTGATGTATTCAGGATAGGAACTTTGGGCACTTTGTTGTAAATGCTGGTGAAGACGACACATAATCTTATATATGACAGTGATTTATTGAGATTCAAAACTGATAATGTTGGAACCATTTTGGCTAAATTTTTTATTTTATATTATATAATTTCATTATTGTGTAACGTTGATTGGTTTGTACAAGGCACCAATGAGAAATTTGGATCGAAATTGACATATAATGAATAAGCAGTTAATTCGCACGATCACTTCTGTAATGATCTAATGATGTATCTATTGAGTTGTGTTTACATAATATTACTAGGATCGTGTTATAAATTTATAGATACGGATATGTCCATTTTTATTGCCTATCTTATTATGAGGTAATGCCAGTAATGAAACAACGATTAGGAGGCTCTTAAACGGGACGACGAAATCTGTTGCATAAATAAATTAACTTTTAAATGAAAGCGAGTAGCTTAGCTTTTAAATATTTAGTTAAACGTTGATGTAAAATTTTAATATATTTTTACATAAATTATGTAAAATTTAATATTAATTAAAATTAAAATAATACATGATATCTTTAAATACTCAAGTAATATATTATCAACAGATAAAATTTTTATATAAATAACTTTTATATAAATAATTTTTATTTAAATATTTAGAATTTCACTTATTAAAAAATATAGAATAAGGACAATTTGATAAAATATACATTCCAATAATCTTTTATTCCTTCAACCAAATATTGTAATCTTACATTCCTGCCAAACTAACCAAACACAGTAATGTAACATTCCCTGATAATCTTTTATTCCCACTGGTAATCTTACATTCCGTGAATCAAACGCATCCTTAAAATTTCTTTTTCTTTTCTTTCCTGAATGACTAGGTATAGGTATGAGATTCAAATTCTGTCAGGTCGGTTTTTAAGGGTAAACTACATCAATGGTCACAAAAGTTTAAATAAGTTTTCGTTTTCTCACTAAACATTCAAAAATTATAAATTGACCGTGTAATAAAATGGTCACTCATGTCAGTGACCAAAAAATGAGCTGGACGGCATCATTGACCACCTCGTTTGAGTGTCTTTGACCAACTCTTCAACTAATATTATAATATATTAAAAGTAATACCACTTAATGAAGATTTAATTCATTAACACCTAGTAAACCCCTTTCTTCGTCCTTTTATTTGAGAAATAACCAGTTAGATATAAAGGGATTGAGAAAAAGCAACGAGGATCTGAGGAGTTGAAACTACAAACACCATCCTTCGATCTATAATCTTTATGGCCCAAAAAGTAAGATTTTTCAGCTTTGTTCCATTCAATCTAAAAACCCGTTTCGGAGAAGAAATGTTTGAGGTAACCAAGTACATCAGCTCGACAACCTAGCTCGTGAAGAGGATGGATTGAACAGTTGTCATGAAGGAGCTTGAACGAATTTTTATATCCCCACATTCCCAGACACATTGGGTATAGTTGGGAAGACTCAAAAGGGAACAAAAACGGAGAAACGATAGTCTAGAGTAAGAAGCGTCGAAAATTAGAATTGGTGATCTAGAGAGATTAATAGGAAGGAATGAGAAAGAAGAGCAAGTGGAAGTGGACAGGAGTGTAGTCAATGGGGGTAAAGGAGATAAACTGAGGGAAAATGAGTTTGGATCGAAGCTGAGTAAAGAAAAAAGTAGTTGTTAATGGAGATGATGGAGTAAGGAGTAGAGCAATTGATTTGGAAAGAAAGATGGTCACACCCAGAAGAGGAAGAGAAAGGGAATGAAAGCATCGAACTGAAAGTTGGACATGAGATCTAGACAATATTTTTGGACTTGAAGAACAAAAACAACGAGGAAGAGGAAGAGAAATGGAATGAAAGCATCAAACTGAAAGTTGGACGTGAGATCTATACAAGATTTTTGGACTTGAAGAACAAAAATAATGAGTGAGATTAGTTTCCATGAGAAGCACCCATTAAAAAACAGATAAAGAAGATAGAGGTTTAGTGGGTGTTAATCAATTAAATATTCATTAAATGATATTATTTATAATATTTTATAATTAGTTGAAAAAGTTGGTCAACAGAGACTCTAACGTGGTGTTTAACGATCTAGATAAGTATTTAACGGTCCAGTTTAGTTTTTCGTCGTCGAAAATAACGTCGAGTGATCATTTTGTTACAAATCATTAACGTCAGTGGTAAGTTTCTAACTTTTGAAAGTTTAGTAAGGAAAACGAAAATTTATTCGAATTTTAGTGACCATTAGTGTAGTTTACATTTTTTTAAAAAAATTGGGTTTGAGTCGAGTTGAATTTAAATTTAGGGTGAAAAATATTCGACCTGATTAAAAAATTTGTAATTTTAACTTATATATTTAGGGATCATTGCAAAATATCCCTCTATATATTATTTTTTTTTCAATTAAATCTTATTTTTATCGAATAAAAATAATATTTTTAATAAATATATTATTTAAGGTTGGATTTTGGTAGGATGAAAGCTATATATTTTTCGGGCTTGGTGGAAGATTTATAATTTTAGGATCGAGTGTTGTGGATCGAAAATCCGACCACATCCCACGCATGCCCATCCCTATGGATGATTATTTGTGGAATTCTTTTGTATTAACAAAACAGCTTATGTTTTTTTTTCCTGCATTTGGTATATGCTGTTGGCTATAGCTTACAGAAGTATGTTAAATAGCTGTGTTCTTGGTGTAATATTTCTTTATGTTAAATAGCTGTGTTCTTGGTGTAATATTTCTTCATTTCTTTGTAAATGTTAAATAATATGCATTTGTTCTCATTTCTGAAAAGAAACACCTTCAAGTTGTAGGTTCTCCTGTCAAATATTCCCTCAAGAGTCGTCAAAGAAAGTAAACATAACTCAATCTGGTATGTTATTTCAATTCCTTCGCAAAACCTAGGAAAGTGTCCACGAACCTGATCAGAAGAGTACAACAGAGACATTAATTTTCGATGTGTAGATCAGGCCGATGCTCATCTTATGTTCTGTCTTGCAACTCAGTTCCTATTGTCATACTGGTCCTAAAAACATGAAGCAGCCTTCACTGTACAAAATGGCTCGACATCGACAACACCAGAACCTGATATTATAACTACTAGACAGACCTTCCATCAATGCAGGATGCTGATAGGTAGAATAACAACCGAATTCCAATAGTTTCAAATATCAGTATATCACATTAACTAATACCAAAATGCTCTGAAAGTACAACAGGATAGGCTACTACGATCTACGTCCTACATCCGTAACAAAAAAACCATTCCGAAGCTTTATTTCAAGGATAGGTAAAAAGGCCTACATACGTATGCAGTGTTCTTCCGTAGCTAGTTCAACATAAAAATCGAGTCCTTGCTATATTTAGCGCGATCCCTCGAGCCCCAGCCTTGCTGTAAGCCAATTGCAGACCTCATTCATCTCTTTAGGGACTGTGTAATGACCAATCCTGCACAACCAGATGAAAAGTTTACATGTTTTCCGGTTTTGTGAACAAACAGTGAGCTTATTGCTGTCGTTATAAGAGCCTAAATAGTTACCCCTCATAAATTTTAAAAATGAGGTTCTGGAATCCTGCTACACTCAAGGAATGGGCAGACATTTCTCCGTATTTGTAGGGGACAACATCATCACCTGCAATAAGAGGATAAGATCGGTTTGGTGAACGAATCAAGAAATTGGAAATTTCATGGTATTTTCCTAGAAACCTTTGATTATTGATCTTTCGAGTATCGATAATGAAACATCTTTTGAAGCAGATTTTGAATGTGAAGTTGTGAACGTATTGTGTGATTTAAACACGGATAAGATTCATAGATCATGTTATTTACTAGTTCAAAAAGATGTCTAAATTGTACTATGAAGTTAAATCATGGATCCATGCAAAAGTTAAGTTATATTCCACGGATAAATTGCAGCATTTGCTTGAAGGAGAAAAAGGTACATACAAGTTCCATGGCAAAGCATAATTGGCAATGATGCGGCACGCCTTGCAGCTTCATGTGATACTTCTATTTTGTTCCTTACGCACCTGCAAGGTAAACACCTTTTATGAGATAGTACAATAATTTTTTTTCTCAAAACTTAAGGCTTTATTAAAGGTACTCAACTACTCTTTTATTTTTTTTCTTCTCAAAATCAACTCCGAACAATGTAGACGCCGTACCTCCAACCTGGAAGCCAACCACTTAGTCCAACAATTGCCCTTAGGTTGATGTTGTATGGGTTGCCATTTCCATACCTCCCCAGAGCAAAAGCGGTTGCAGAGTAAAGGGCCATTGCAGCACCCATGCTAAAGCCTCCAATTCCGACCTTAACTGTCGAAAAGCAGCCGATAACATAGTAAGTATTTCATTTAAGTTCATGGAGATAAGAATTCAGGGCTATTCATTTGTAGACGATAAAGCTCCTCAAAATACCATCAGATGGCTCTGTAGACAAGAAGTTTGCAACATGAGCTGCCGAGGCATCTAAACCCTCCCAATCATCCGGACCATCTGCCGACAGCTCACGAACGTCAAACCCTGATGCAAGAAATTTGATTACATCAGTGTCAATTATCAAAGCATAACTCATCTTTATGTATGATATATATGTAGGAATAATAAAGTTCATGCAATAAACCAGATGAGAGAACCAAAATATTTTCTTACATGCAGAGTAAGGAAATCCCCCAAGTAGAGCCACAGGACGAGTAGGAGCAGTTGGACAAATCCATTTTATCTGACACAGAATCAAGATACACACACACACATATATGAGAATCATTTGATGTATTGGAGGACAAAGCAGTATGTATATAGAACCAATATGATATAAGCACCCTTACATTTGGAAGAGGAAGACTTTCCAAGAGCTGAGACCAGCTGCAACAAAACAGGAATGATACGAGGATTACAAATGCTTCTTTTCAATTAACTGGACAATTGCAGCTTTCTGTAATTTCATTTGAAAGTTTTAATAATTTTTAATTCAGGAAAAAAAAAAGAGGAATCAAATGAATTCAGCCAAAAACTGAGTTTGCCACGCCTGTCCATGCAAGGTGATCAGGTGAAAAGGTAAACAGTAAAACCAGTTTTACTTTGAATCCAAAGATTATGCTTTACTGCTTTGAGATTAAAATAAAGAATTCTAGGACCACACCTATAATAATAAGTACTTAAGAATGAATATCCTTTATCAAAAGGTAATTAATGTTTTGCTAATTTGGCATGAGAAGAAAGTTTGGTTTGTTGTCTTTTGCCTATGGACATGGAATATACTCTTTTTAACATTTGAGGCTTCCCAAATTAAGCTTAGTTATCATTTCAATGAATGAAATTCAGTGAAACAATGATCAACAGCATATGAGAAACTTGAAGATGAGCATATATCACCAGCAATATAACAAATGCTTAACTTGAAATTATCATGTTACTTAAACAGCTTGTTCTGTTAGCGATAAAGTAATCGACGCAAGAGTTTACAAATTCAAAAAGAAGGAGAAAAGAACGAGTAATACGTCGAGCCATTGTCGCCGAGGCCATGAAGCCATATTATGGTAGCCTGGTGTTTCCCTTTAGGTCGTACCACATGTGTCCTTCCGAATTCGAATATCCTTCTAGCAGTTCTACTACCTAAAAAATGAGCATCAATGAAGCTCAACAATCATCAGCAATCTCTACAATATCTTACAGCAAGTAATAAAGTGCAACAAGTTGGAATGTGAAAAAGGGTAAAAATAATGAAGAAAGGAACAAACCTGAGCCCATGTTATTATTTGAATTGCTCATTTTGTGTTTACTTGAGAAACTGAACTAAACAGTCCACCTTGAGGCAAAATCTGAGAATAGGTGATATAATGAAGAAAACCCTGAATGATAATGTCTATTTATAACCAAATGGGAAGTGTGGAAATGGAATAAAACAGACATAGGGGCATCCTTGAAAAAGAGGGGCAAATATAATGACAAAAGTAGGACCAACCTTTTATATTAAGGGATGAATTTATAAATTTTTGAGAATTTGAAGCTTTCGAGGGACGAATACTCTCGCCCCTTTGGTCTATCCCCGACAAAAGTAATAAATCTTTATAATAGCACAGAGAGAATTCAAGCAGGGCAAAGCACCATCATCCATCCCTTAACAGAGATCGCAACATAGAGGAGAATCTATGCTTGTGGGCAGTGGCCAAACAATAAAGCAAGCCCTCCAGCAACAGCTCAAAAGAATATTGCTAAAAACAAGAAAAGAATACCCTAAATTTGAAAAAGAAATAATCTTTTTTCAATAATTTGTTTATCAATTCTTTTGGTGATTTGATTGATACCCATTAAGCAGAAAGCTTACAAGTTTTGAACTTTCATGCATCCTTAAAAAGAATTCTGGAGTTATAGAAATCTACTGAATGACACTAGTTGTGTTTCATTATATTATCCCTTTCTTCTGTAAACTTCAACTTCTCAAGATCATATTTTTCCAGAAGTATGATACTGATACACATATATACATGAAAGTAAAATTCAACCTTTTTTTTTGGTGGAGTTTTGTATACATTTATAAAAAGAAAAAATTACTGTTACCATTGATTTGCAGACCACCATTTATCAATTTGAACATATAAAAGTACTGCAGCTTTAATGCAACAACCCATGAAAAATTCTATTCTGTGATGAATTTTTTATCTGCAGTCCTTTTTTGTCATATATTTATATATATGTATGCATAGATATACAGTTTATGATACTTCGATTTAAATTAAAGAATTTAAAGTTTTAAATGATGGGTCGTTTTGGTAGCCGGAATGTAACACTTGTGGGTCTGTCAGATATTTTAGGTTAGATTTTGAATATTACAATACTGCAAAAGTAAAAGAAAGGTAAAATAAATAAGCGATGGAGTCATGCTTTTGCAATCCAAGTTAAATCATATATGACCTTCAGTCTCATCTACATTCATCAAGATTTCGTCCATTATCAACTTTCTTTCATATATGCTGCTAATTAAGAAAGGGAAATACATCAGAAATGATTAAAATATATATAAAAGATAATAGCTATATGATCAATTTGCATGAAGTAAATGATAATGGCATTGTTTATCATCTTCAAAAGTGTAATTACAAATTATAAAACCATAAACTTAACAGCTTTTGAAGATTCGAGGGGTTGCTGTTGTTTGTAGCTTTTGTTGTGGATTCCAATTCCCAAGGCTCCTAGAAACTTATAAAAGACATCTTATTTGTTTTGTTTGTCATCAAAGTTGAAACCATGCATGCGGCCAAATTGCCATGTGGAACAACCCTTAAAAAGATAAGAATATGAAGAGATAAAGGTACATACATATGGCGGAGGGTTTTGTTTAAATATTTTGGCACCTTCATTGAGATTGTGTATATTCCTTGTTAATGGTATGTAAAAATGACTGAAAATTATTCCTTCTCTTTTCCAGTTTTCCATTTTCTTGCGGTATATACCTCTGCATGCATTTTTTACAGTTATACAGTACTAATGCATAAAATTATACCCTATTAATCAAATATTAATCATTATTTTCTTTTTCTTATTCTGTATTCCAATATTGGAAGTTGAAGAAGCCATGCATGCAGCCAAATTGCTATACGGAAGAACCCCTAAAAAAGATGGAATATTGAAGGAGAAAGATATAAAGTTATATGGGGATTTTTTTACTTTCTATTTTGGCACGTTCATTGAGCTTGTTGCATATTCCTTCTTAATGGAAGTGGAAAATGACTTAAAAAATATGTTCCCGTCTCTTTTCTCACAGTTCTGCTGGATTTCAAATCTGATCCCCAAATATTATATATATATGCATGCATTTGTCTCACTGTGTTGATAATGGAAAAAAGAAACATAAGCTCATAATTATTGGTAAGTACGTAATGGAATAAAGTACGTAATTGGCTCTCTGTTATTTTTGGGGTCCAATAACATACGTACATATATCACTTTTGTATTGATGTTTCATTTGACATTTGTCCTTTTCGGCTTGGTTTTAGTTTTGTTTCTTTCTAAATTGATGTCTCGAATTTGGAAGGGCCAATTATTGGTAGGAGTGGAACAATGCCAGCCACTCCATTGATTTCATATTCTTTACACACTAAAATGATAGATATGTAAATATGCTATGTTTGTATCAATGGGTATAAATATTGCCAACGTCCATACAAATCGTGCGCATTAGCTGTGGCTGCATTTCTAATAATTCCAACGCAATGATTCAAGATACAAATCTTAATATTATTTTTATATTTTTGTTGTTTTTAAAATTATTGATTTGGAGTTTATAATATTTTAATTGTATTTTTCAATAGTGCAGTGATAGTCTATATTCAAGCTTTCAACTCACGATCTCCGAAAGTTTATTATAAAGATTCTTAATCTCATTTGTAGTACTATCGATCGTGGGAAGAATTAGGGTATTTTTCAACCTATAAGAAGTTTTCTTTGTATATATTTTTCAAACACAAAGTCGATTGAATGATTTGATCTTTATAAAATATAATCATGTTTTAAGACTTTAATATTAAAAAAAGACACCATAAGCCATATTCTCTTGGAGAATATTGAAAAAAGTAATGAGTGTTATTTGAGAGAATTTTCTAATGATGAAGATAAATTTGTATTTAATAATAATAATGACTTGTCATGAAATCAGATTAATAGAACTAACGAGACCCATGATCCTTAATATTTTACTAGATAATTAAGGATCATAAAAGAAAGCTTCGGACTTTCTTTCATATTTGATACAAGAAACAATATAGATACCAGAAATGGAAATTACGAGAATAATAATGAAGTATTAGATTATTAGTATTTAAATGTCTATTATCTAAGTGTGTCACTAGGAGTTCAAAGCATTTAACAACCATGTTATTTATTTTCTATTCCTTTCCCTTTCTTTTATTTGAAACATACTAGTTTGTATAAATATTTTGTTTAGTATTTATTATATAGTTATCATGTTTCAAATATAAAATATGCTCCAAAATCTCTTAGCAGTGCGGCTCACTTGCTAAACACGTATGCCTTCGCTTTACGCCATTTAAAACTATGGTTACAGCTTTCATATGCTCATACAAAGAACATAATTTATATACGCGAATATAACATTACAAGTATCCAATACTAAATGTTGTAAGACCCCAAATAAATAATATAAGTACAAAATTTTTAGCAGATATGCAGAAAACTATCGTTAGGGCAATAAAATTCATGAGGAGCATATAAAGCTAATTAAAAATAAATTGAGTATTTTTTTTTCAAAAATAAAAACACAAACAGAAAACGAATTTATTTAAAATGAAAACCTAATCCAAATGACTTAAACAATACCTAGACAATACGAAAATCCTTCAAAACTTGACACCAGGAAGTTCCTGAAAGAATGGAGTCATAGATTTATTTATTTTGCGATGCATTCCAAGTTAAACTAAGATCTCATACCTGTGCAACGGTCTAAAAAGTGCCATAAGAAAAAACAGAGAATACCATCTCAAAACCAAACGAAACACAAAAAAAGCTTTCGTAACACTTGAAGGGTGCATTATACATTGGAACATAATTCCATAATCTTCTGCAATTTTATTCCAACAGGAAAAGTTCAAAGCTGGAATTAATGATGATCATCGTCACCATGTCCGTCTGGAGGTCCTCCAGGTCCCACAACTTCAAGCTGCAAAACAAAAACATAAATCATTAGGGAAATACTGCAGTGCTGGAAACAAATGAGTACCACTCTGCTGGTTAAAAAGACGATGGGATTATCTAATTGCATTACAGGGCAGTAGACAGGGTAACAGACACAGGGAACCAGGTGTTAACCTTAAAGCCAAGAGGTCCAACTTTAGTCATAGCATCATGGCCACAGCCTTCAAACCATTTGTGTTCACTTAGAATCATAATTTGGTCTTCGGGTAGTAAAAGTCTATGCGTATACCCATGTCACTGTAGTTTTGATTATGTCATTCAAGAATAATCTAGAAAAATAGCTCAAACAGTTGCAACTCAATCAATCTATGGTCATTAGTTGCACTGATAACATTTGCAGAGTTACAGATGAAGTAAACAAAACACAGTGACATAACCAGTGTCGGAGCCAAATGGGCTTTGGGAGGGACCCTGGCCACCCCTAACTTTTTTGGCCCACTTGCAATTTAGGTCCTTGCAAGTTTAATATAAGTTAATTAGTCCTTGGCCCACCTAATTTTTAGGTTTAAATACTTAATAGGTCCCTTTTTAGAAGTTAAACAAATTGGTCCCTCCCAGTGTTTGCTCCTACTAGTTCCATCCCTGGACATAACATTCATACAAATAAGCCAATTGTTGCACAAACTGATTGATCAACCATGCTCTAAACTAGAGCAAATGAAGGTTTCCTTAGAAAGACTAATACTATTTTAGCATTCCACAACGCTCCAGATCATTGATAATTAATTGAAATCTTAAGAATTTTGGCTAAATCCATCTATGGGCTAACAGATATACCTAAACGGGATATAGATCCCATAAATGCAAGGACATTGACATTTACATTTAACTCGAATACATCAGCACAAGGTTAGGACATAAGGAATAAATGTTCCCTAGTTCGTGATATCCACTCACCACAAAATACTGCAAGCAAACTGGGCACTCATGTGGCTTGCCTTTCTCCAGCCAAAACCAGACCACATCATGTTCATCCTCTGCATTTTTTTAAGTAAAGCAAATTGAATGACCACAAGCATCAGTTCAAGTAGAATGACTTGATTCTGTACAAATCTGATAGAAGCATACAAGAACCTAGAACAGTGGAAACAGAATTAATGAAGGGAACATACCGCCTTCACCTCCTGGGCATCCAACTATTCTCTTGTCATAGTAGGACTTGACAACAGCAGGAGCTTCCTACAGGCAGATAAAATCACTCTTTATGATTTCAATAAGGTAAAGCTGTTTCTACCATAATTATAAATAAAGGCTTAAACTTAAAATGATAATTTTACAATTAAGATTATTTTGTTGCCATGATTCGACATAAATGGATAAAACACAGCAGTACATCAATATGTAGAAATTTTTTTAGCAAAATATTCAACAGATATAGAAAATAGAACATTGTAATTTTTCCTCCTCCGCTTTGTATGATATCTATAATATTCTAGATTCCAAGAAGTGATATAACAATCTAGAAAGCAAATTAAAACCATTCCTTATTAATGTTGCTGAAATGAAAATAATAAGGTTTGGCATATGGATTGTTACCCTCCATGGAGAGTCAAGGTTCACAGTTCAAGAGCCCCCACACCTCAGGCCTAGTCTACCCATGACAAGAGGCCCACCATAAATAGGACCAAAAAGCCCCTTACTTGAGAAAAACTTAGTTAAAGGAATCATACAAGTTAAACCAATGGTTGCAAATATTCATCAAATCCAAAAATGAACTAAAAGCCAAATGATAACACTATAGCAAACAAGTAATAAATATTGGAATGAATTATTGGAAAATCCTGGAAAGATATGTTGCCAAAGTACCAAACTAATGCAACTGGTAACATCATTTTTGTAAATATTCACTTACACGAGCATCTAATCAACAACCCAAGGATAAAAATAGTTCTAGTAAAATATGAGGGCTTAGATTCCAAATAATTGAAGCCATCACAAACCAAATAAAGGTATAAATTCAAGTAAAATATTGTTGTAAATCATATCAAAGAGGGGGAACGATTGTCAGTATTTCAACACCATCAGCCATTGATCCCATATAAAATGATACAGACATGATCAAATCAGCCAGTGTTCCTCAGTTGTAATAGACTGCAAGAAACATTGAATTACATACTAACCTTAGTGCCAAAGGGACCTACAGGATAGTTCACATCTTCAAGGATTTTCTTTCCCTAAACAAGATAACACAAAACTGAAAATCAGAATAAGAAAACAAGATAGTGTCTATAACAACATAGAAAATTCGAGTCTTCAATTGTAGATAGTAACATCAGAAGACAGTTCTCGCATTTTAAAACCAAATAGAGAGAACGGAAGAGGGAAAAAATAACCTGGATCTCGGCCTCAAGCTCCTCAAGCTCATGACCGGTAGCAATAGGCATTACATCCTCAACTCTCTTCTTCACAGAAGTATCTGCTACATAAACAAAAGCAATCAAAACCAAAAACCGAAAAAACAATATCGGACAAGTCAACAAACACTCAAACAGAAACGTTTTCTAATATAAACCAAATCTAACTTAACCTTTTCTTCTAATTTCGAAGCACAATAATTAATGATCTAAAATATTCATACAGAAAAACAACTATTTAAACAACTATATAAAGGATGCAACGCTTGAAATATATATCACTATATGTATCAAAAAAAATGAAGCGCCCACGAAGATAATGATGATACTAGGGTTACCTGACTCGGCGGTGAAATGGCGAACGAGGAGAGAAGCGAAAGGGAAAGGAGAAATGTGAGATTTGAACGGAATCGGCGCCGTTTTAGACGCGGATCGGCATGGAAGTGCTGCTAGAGATTTGAACTGTGAAGTGAGTAGCCTTCTCCACATATTTCAGAAATCAAATGGATTGTTTTTAGTTTCTCGATAATCTCAGGTTACGCCCTGGATTTTCTTGACGACGATCAAAAACAGAGATTTGCAAAATGTTCTCTATTTGAATTTAATTTTCAGTGCAAAAATAAGTAAATTTTTTGGGGGAAATGGGTTTTCAAAAGAAAGGGGTGGAGGCTGCGAATGTTGCTGGATGCGGTTTGCTGTTTGCTTCTTTGGGTTTATTTGGCACGTGCTAACTTTGTTACACGTGTGTACTTTAGGGAAGTTTTTGGGGTTTTCGGTCCGGTTCGAGTTTTAATCCTCAGTCTCTGGTTAAGTTCGGAACGTTTCAAGCGTTGCCCGATTAATTTACGTATTATAAATGCATGGAAAAGCTTAATTTAGGAATTTGATCCACCTGCTTAATTTTTTTAATGCACTTAAATTTTTTGAATTAATCACTGGTATCTGATCTATTGACCAACTAATCTAAATCAGGTACTATAGAGGTGAAGACGTTATTCTCAATCCAATTTATTTCATTCACAAACATCATGATTCAAACCCCAAACATTTTCAATCAAATTTGCTTCTTATTTATTTATATGATAATATGTTATTTTATTAATTTTAATATATAATGTCTCATCTCACTAGACGCTGGTGATTAATGCACTTTTAATTCTTAATTTGATTAATGTGTTATTTTTTTCTTAATTTATCGTATGTACTACTATTTCTCTATTACTTCGTCACATTGTCATTAATGTTAGATTGAGGTATAATAGAAAATTAACTATTAAGGTGATGTTTGTTTTCACTGTGCAAGTTCTTCAAACCACTTATGTCTGCGTCGCGCAGACCACGCGCATACATTAGGCTTCGTAGACTGTTTGTTTTTTAGAAGACAAAAGCTCTTCAAACGTCTGCGCGAGCTCTTCTTGGTGCACACTTGGTTTTATGTCTTCAAAGGTCTTCAAACCTCTTCAAGAACAATTATAAAATATAATTATTTATTAAAATAATTTTAAATAATTTAATAAGGTTATTTATTTTAAAATAATTTATTTTAAAATAATTTATTTTAAAATAATTTATTATAAAATAATTTATTATAAAATAGTTTACTTTAAAATAAATTATTATAAAATATGGATTGATTTATTTTAAAATAATTTATTTTAAATAATTTATTAGTATGAATTGATTTATTTTAAATAATTTATTAGTATGGATTGATTTATTTTAAAATATGGATTGATTTATTATTGTAGTTGTGTGGATTGATTTATTTTAAATAATTTATTAGTATGTATTGATTTATTTTAAAATATGGATTGATTTATTTTAAATAATTTATTAGTATGGATTGATTTATTTTAAAATATGAATTGATTTATTTTAAAATATGGATTGATTTATTTTAAATAATTTATTAGTATGGATTGATTTATTTTAAAATATGGATTGATTTATTTTAAATAATTTATTAGTATGGATTGATTTATTTTAAATAATTTATTAGTATGGATTGATTTATTTTAAAATATGGATTGATTTATTATTGTAGTTGTATGGATTGATTTATTTTAAATAATTTATTAATATGGATTGATTTATTTTAAAATATGGATTGATTTATTTTAAATAATTTATTAGTATGGATTGATTTATTTTAAAATATGAATTGACTTATTTTAAAATATGGATTGATTTATTTTAAATAATTTATTAGTATAGATTGATTTATTTTAAATAATTTATTTGTATAGATTGATTTATTATTGTAGTTGTATGGATTGATTTATTTTAAATAATTTATTAGTATGGATTGATTTATTTTAAAATATGGATTGATTTATTATTGTAGTTGTATGGATTGATTTATTTTAAATAATTTATTAGTATGGATTGATTTATTTTAAAATATGGATTGATTTATTTTAAATAATTTATTATTGTAGTTGTATGAATTATTTAAATTTCAGTATTGTAAAACTAAAATTATTTAAATCTTAGTATTGCAAAACTCTTTTAAGTTTTAAAAATCAGTTTATTTATATTTCAGTTTATTTATATTTTAGTTCATTTTAGCAGTCTGCAGACGTTAAAAAACAAACAATCTTCTTCTTGCAGACTGTAGACTTTTGGTCCACCTCTTTTGCTGCAGATGCCTGCAGATGTGGTCCGCAGACTGCAGACCCTTTACCTCTGCAAAAACAAACACCACCTAAGTCTTTTATTACAAGTTTTGTGTACAATCTATTTTATTTTGTATTGTATATTTCTATATCATTTATCATAATGATTTATTTTAGCAAAATTTCATATAATCATATTATAATGTGTAAATCGGCTAAACTCACGATATAATGCACTCAAAATAAATAATTCACGAAATAACGTTCTCCCAATATTATTTGCTGAAATAGGGCGAAATCAACAGTAGCCGTAGGTCGCCATGCACTCCCAGCGACCTCCTAGGTCGCCATGCACTCGCGGCGACATCCCCTGCTGCATGCTCGCCTGCTCGCGACCTTGCCGGGACTCCATGGCGACCTACACATGCACGATCTCCCCATTCTTCCCATGCATGAACCGATCCTTGGTCGCCCCGAGTGCCCTATGCATGAACCGGTCCTTGGTCATCCTTGGTCGCCTCGAGTGCCCCATGCATGAACCGAGCCCCGAGTGCATGGCACGATCTCCCCATGCATGAATCCTTGGTCGCCTGCATGGCGACCTCCTTGGTCGCCGGGCGTGCATGGCGACCTCCTTGGTCGCCGGGCGTGCATGGCGACCTAGGAGGTCGCTGGGAGTGCATAGCGACCTATGGTTGGGTTGTGCATGTCCCATGCACATAAGCAAGCCACGTCGTAGGTCGCCCGGAAGGCATGGCGACCTACGGCCACACTGTTGATTTCGTCCTATTTCAACAAATAATCTTGGGAGAACGTTATTTCGTGAATTATTTATTTTGAGTGCATTATATCGAGAGTTAACCCGTGTAAATCTCTATTATATTAGTTTTGTGTTCATTCTATTTTAACATAATGATTTATTTTATCACATAAATTTAATGAATTACATAAGTTTCGTTCTTAGCAATTGCACCCTGATGCAATAACAAAGTACAAGAGGAGAAATTCTGGAGAAAAAATAAAAATAAATAAAAACCAGGAGATGCTTATGCAGCAGATGCTCCATCTTAAGATCCATGAGTTGGGCTGCCACGTCTTCATACTCCGGCAGCTTAGGGTGGACGTAATTAGGGCGGTGACTGGACAACGAATTCGATCCGATGATACCAATGGACGGATCGACAACTTGTATGGGTTTTCCTTCCGTTTCAGTCTGCACCCGAGGAAAGCATTCGAGTTCCAAGATCTCAGGCTGTGGCCTACAGCAGTATTCTCCAGCTATTTCGTCGATCAACCGGTACTTCATATCATCCGAAACGGATTTCATGCGAAGAATTTCTCGTATCTATAATCCAAAATTTTTATGCTTCGTAAAGAGAGAACAACAATTATAACGAGAAAGGAAAGGAAAACATTATTGGACAAACCTCACGGTTCACCAGGTTCCCAGGAAGTAACTCAACGGACGCCGTCTCGAAGCCGTGGCCGTAACGCTTCCTGAAGAGCTTCCGAACCGCTGCAAGTTCCGGCAGACCTGCACATCTTGCAGACGCGAACATCAGGCTTGAAATTGCCTCGTTGATATCATCAGGGCAGTCCCTGTGTCTGCGAATATATGGTAATCGAAACTTGACAAATTCACAGTATTGATCCACCTTGTCATACACCGCCATCATCTTCTCTTCTTCAACAAGCTGCCCAGCCTGAAAAGATTATGCAAACATCTTGAAGAAGAACACTAATTGTTAATAACGGAAGCTTTTAGAATTTGAAGAGAAGACGTCCAAACCCATTTAAGAGCAGTTTCTTCGTAGCCAAGTTCGATGACCTTAGCTAGATCCTCCCGAAGCAGTTTCGCAGTTGTAGACCTTTTGTTCTTTAGAAGCTTCAGGCGGCACCGAACAAGCTTCATCAGCTTCTTACTGCAAATAAAACCCAACACGAACACATCGATACTAAAATTAATAAAACAGCATATTATCATATATATAAATAAGAAGAAGAAGCTTGGAAATTGTACCACTTGGAAGCTTTTTGCCAACCGAAATAGATGTCAAACATGCTTTGGTATAATTAGAAATCGAATTTAAACCTTGCACAAAAGAAAAGCGACTTGAAAGTTGAAACTGATAAAACCTGAATTTATTGATCAAAGTTGTGAAGTATTTATATATAAACAGTATATATATATATATATATAAAGGGAAATAATCAACTATGAAGGAATTATAACAGTATAATTTTGGTAGGAATCCATCTCTTGGAACGTCTAACTTGCCGCCATATGTATAAAAGGAAATAATGAACTTGTACAAAAAAGGAAATAATGAACTAAGAATAATTTTGGTAGGATTAATCCATCTTATGGAACATTTAACTTACCGCCATATATATATTCAAATACATTGGTAGGAAATAATAAGATATTAATTCGAGAAAAATAAAAAGATAATATAAATCGTCTATTTTCTCTTATTCAATAATCTCAAAAGTGTGTAAAATTAAAAGTTTTACATTATGTGTAAATTGATCCTACCTAATTGAGGTTTCAATAGGCTCTAACATTCTAACTAGGGTAAGAGGTTGTTTGTTTATTTCAGAATGATTAAGCGTTGAATGATTCAAGTGTTGAATTATTCAGAGGCTCTGTATGAATTAACTCTGAATGTGACATGTTGTTTGATAATGGCTCTGAATCATTCAGAATGTACTTTTGTGCTGAATCATTCAGCACTGTTTTACTGAATCAGTCAGCACTGAATCATTTAGAGGTACGAAACAAACGCGCTGAATGCTGAACGGTTCAGCATTCAGCGCTGAATGGTTCCATTAAGAGGCAAACAAACAGTCCCTAAATTTATATTTTGATATTTAAATTTGATTTTAATATGTAATTTAATATTTAAATTTTTATTTAATTAGATATTTAAATCCTATTTATTGGTTTAAATTAGTACTCAAGATTAATATTTAAGATAAACCATTTGTTTTAATTAATTTTAGCCATGAAGCCAACTTGAGCAAACGTGAGGTGATAATTTGAACCAAGTAATCAAGTTTAGGTATTAGTTTTAATCCAACCGTTAGGTAGTAACATGAAAATGAAAACTGCCACGAGAGATGAGACAGTAAAGAATTGTAATGATGATGACGGAGGTAGATACAACAACTGAAATATCCTTCACGAGATTATGAGCCTTCTCGACCATCGTTGATACGACCGCGTATTCGATGTAACTTATCAGTCAAATGGGGGATTCGTAGGGGAAGAAACTGAACGGATTTTAGGGATTATCAGGCAAATAAAATTGTTCCAATCACCTCTTCAAAACCCCGTTAATATAAAAAAAAAAGCTATAAAGATCGATGATACGTGATACGGTAAGAATCAAGTTGACGATGGAGCTTTCTATGGTTTTGTAATAGATGATAAGCGTGATGATTAGTATGGCGGTAGGAGCTACGAGGTCGATTTTGTTGAGACTCCTGACGATGGTGGCGTTTGACATGACGTTTACGGAGGTCGTTGAAGGTACCATCAATGACAAACATGTGGGAAGCAAACTCAGTATAGCTGAAGGGTGGATATGAGGGTGCAAAGTCCAGCAATGACGCAAAAGGTAACAATTGCAGAAAAATTATTTTATGGACTAGGCTTACTACGTCATCAATATTCTACGCAACTCATTTTTAGGAGAAATAATTGATTGATCATGTTTATCAGGTCATCCGTGGTCCAGTGAATGAGAACCACAAATTTTAAAATAATTTTGTATTTACATGTAAGAAAGATATGAAGACTCGCTTTGAAAAAAATGATATAAAATATAAAATATATTTTTAATTTAAATATAAATTTTGCGACTTGAGTCGAAGAGAAGTGCAATTTGTGACATCGAACAGAACTGAGAACCAGGAAGTTGAGCTTGAGAGTCATTGACAGAGAGCTCATAGGAAGTTGACATGTCATGGGATACAACCGGGGATCAGCAGAGGATCAACCTTTTGCATCATCTTACTGAATTTGGCGGCAATGATCATATTTTGTTTAATTTGAATAATAAAAAGAGTGTATATCTATTTAATATTTAATATTTAAAATATATTATTATCTATTTAAATTTATATATTAAAAGATATATGGTTGGAGTAAATATCTCATGTTTAATATTTTAAATTTAAGAGATATCATTATCTGTTTAAATTTAGATATTAAAAGAGATTTAGTTGGAGAAAAACTCTCTCGAAATTCTCCTATAAATACTAAGAAAATCTATCAATTTTTTCACAATTCAAAATTCAAGAAGCTTTCTTCTCTTGAAAATATTTTCTCTCATTCTCAGAAAATATCTCTTTTCCCTTAGTTTTCCGGTGATAGTCGAAGGCAAGGAAAGTTCGTGATCTCTATTGTTGTGCTATTGTAGCTGATCATCTAGTTGTTGTATCCTAGGAGACAAATGACCAAAGAATCTCGAGCACCAAGGAGTGGCCGAAAATCTGTCTTAAGGAAACTGTGTAGCGACAGGCCTCAACTGATTCCGATCTCAGGATCAAAATACAGAGTATTTTATTTCCTATAATTCTATTTTATTCTTTAAAAGAATTTTATTTTTTTCTTTTACTTTTCTCAGGTTCCAATTTAGTCTCGGATTGTTACTCTCGGATAACAATCTTAAGATAAATTTATTTTCTTCTATCTTTCTTGATCTAAGGTAATTTGGAATTGTGGGGAAAACGAAGCACGAGATAGTAAACAAATTTGTTTTGGGATTTATCTTGTCATCTTAACGGGTTTACTAGAATCTCAAGTGAACAAATATGTGTAACAAAAATTGTCATAAAAGTAACTGCGGTTACTGATTTTGTTTCAAAATTTTGATTATGTCTGATAAAAAAATCTAAATAAGCGAGAATTAATTTTCTGTTTATTGGAATTATTTCTAATTCCGGTTAAGTTTCTTTTACAAAAAATAGAGACAATAGACTCTACCGATTCACCCAACATTAATGCTGAGATGGTGGTTGTAACATCCTCAATACCGAGTTAGTGACTAAATTGTAAAAATTTCAGAAGTTGGTGATTAAAGTAGAAAAGTTGAATATTTTAATGATTTATTTGGAAATATTTCCTGAAAGTTGTTAGCAATTGTTAAATGAAGTAAAGGACAAATTGATCATTTGACATGAAAGATGTTTTTTCCCTTTAATAGGAGAGAAATACGTAGGGGGAGAGTAATCTGGACAACTCTCTTCTTTCTCTCCCTTTTTCTTCCTTCTCCCTTTTTCTTCCTCCTCCCCGTGGAAGCAAGGCAAATGTAAGATTTATTTGTTGTTGATTATTAGTTGAAATTTAAGTTGGGTTTTGATCATTAGATGATAACTAAGCTTAAGGAAAGCTTAAGTTATCTTAAAATCAAAAGATGAAGAAGTTATGAGAGATTAAAGTGAATGAGTTTCTAAATAAGCTTCAGGAAAAGAGTTGATAAGTTGAATTTGAAGTTAAATTTGACTTGTCATCAGTCTAATTAACAGATATGAAATGTTAGAATTGGATTTAAAACATGTTAAAAATTGGGTATGATTCTTGAAGTTCACAAAGAGGAGAGGATTTTGAGGTTTAAGATGAGATAAATGGATATAAATGAGTTTAAGCATGTATTTGTAAGTTAAGAACATGAAAGGGGAGGAAACATGAAGTATTGAAGCTGAAAAGAGTGAATCTCGTGCTTGAAATGTGATTTATGGGCAAAGAGTATCGGTACCCATTCAATAGGTACCGATACCCTCTTGAACGAAAAATTCCAGAATGTAATAATGGTACCGATACCTTAGGGAGGGTATCGATACCCCCTAAAGGAAAAAGTGAATATGGGTCTATTAAATTTGTTTAAGTTATTAGCATCAAATTACAAGGTGTGGATATCTAATAGTTACCTTAAAAATGTATGATTGTGTAGATATCGAGTACAAGCAAGTTCTAAAACGACAACAAAGTTCAGATGGATCATCAGAGTAAGATTCAAGAGAGAACAAGAATTGGTATTGACAAGTAGCTAAGGTGAGTACATGATAATAAGGGTAAGTTATGTTATGGAATTAAGACTTGCGATAAATCTATTTCTTATATTAGAATGCATGAATTTATGATTATAAGTATGTAAATGGCATGATTTGTATGTATGCTTGATTATATGAGTTGATAGGTTATGGTATGTGCTATGTGTTTTATGTGGGTATAAAAGATAAGTAATGTGATAAGATCTATGTGATATATAGAAATGAAAATATATGAGTATGAAGAGTTATAAGAGAATAAATATAAATAATATGATTGAATTTTTGTAATGTTTTAAATTAATATATGTAAATGATAACTTTATAGTGATAAAAGGTTAAATTTTATGAGTTTTATATATGTTTGACAGAGTTACTGTAACAGGGTATCGGTACACTGTAGCAGGGTATCGATACCCCTGTAGCATTCTGGAAAATTTTAGTATTCGGTAATGTTCACGGTACTGTTCATACCGTATAGTACTATTCATAAAAACGTTTATTTCCTTAAATTTGTTATAACGAACATCATTCAACAATAAAATGTGTAATAATATGAGAATATGATAAAAGTGAATTCCTGAGAACAATAGGAACTAAGTAAACATGTGTAAAGGTTATACAAATAATAGAAACTTGGATGAGAAAAATACATAGTGATATGATCAATTATGAGAATTAGTGCATTAGAGTTATATGATTTATGGAGAATTGAAGAAAACTAGATAAGATTGAATTAGAGAATGAACTGAGAATAATATAACACTTAGGAAACTTGAATATAAAGTGATGATATGCACATATAATATAAGATATATGTTTATAAATATGACATAGGTTATGTGTTTTATAATAAATATGAACATATGAGAACAAGATATAAAATAAGTGACTTTGTGATAGAAGCTATATGACACTGAATTATGTAAATTGGAATAATTTAAGTAATATGTAACTATGAGTATTGGAGTGTGTATCTATGTGATGTGATATATGAGGTCATATGA